CCGAGCCGCATGCTTCACATCACCGTGTGTCAAAGACATTTTGCCCATTTTTTTTAAATTCCCGCATAAAAAAGGAGCCCCACCCCCCCCCCCCCCCCCCCATTTGTTTTTATGTTATATCTTGCGGTTCTACTTTGTCATGTGACATTTTCATTCTTCAGAATGAAGTGTTGACTTATGACAATATTGAAATGCAATAAGTCTTATTTGCTTCCGGGAGAAAGAATCCCGTCAAGGTTACTTACAGCTCTCAGTCGTGTTTCCTAACTCTTCTCTCTGCTGTTGCCGAGCTTTTGTCAAGTGTGCGATTCACCAGCGTGTCCTGGGCTCCATTTTTATCTGTCACATTCGTTTGGGGTTGATGGCCGCTGATGCTGGGCTCATTAAGAACCCCCCCCCCTTCTGGTGCTGCTGCTGGTGCTAGCATGTCTCCTTGAGAACCGAGATACTGCGACTGACTCACGTTCGTCCTTGACTGACACCCACATCGCTCCTTTTTCAACAGTCTGCCATTTATACCTCTGATTCTTTTTTTCTTCTTTGGTCTCATTTCTCTCTTTTGCTCCTTTCCCACGTCACGCACATTGATCTTTTCAATTGTTCTTCAATTCTGTCCTCGTCTTTTGTAAGTCGTGCTCTGATTCGCTCCCACAGTAGTCTTTTTCTTCTTCTTTTTTTGTACTGTTTCTGACCGTGTCTTCTCCCCTCCTCTCTGTGTCTCTCTGCAGGAGCTGGTGGGCAGTAACCCTCCGCAGAGGAACTGGAAGGGAATAGCGATCGCCCTCCTTGTCATTCTGGTCATCTGCTCGCTGATCGTCACCTCCGTCATCCTGTTGACACCAGGTACACGCCGCAGGCCGAGGGGGGGGGGGGTATCACTACACACCACACATCTCTCTGTTCACACGCCTATTATTATGCACAGACATGCCCATGAGGTTTCACAATCAATCTCGCCAGCAGCAATGCAAACAGTAACGCGTGTATGTCAGTGTATCTGCCCTTGTGTTCGGTCCGTAGCTCTCACGCAATGTTTGCAGTGTCACCAGCTGTAATGTCCCAGTTATCTGGGCACGCTTTTCCGCTGTAACGGACACATTTAGTGAAGATCACTGAACCTCATTGAAGTCGGCTTGCGCAACATTGCTTTCTTCATAAACGCCGTCCCCATCTGGCTCCCTTACTTAGTCCTTCTTTTCACCGCACACACTTTTCTTTTTTCTCCCTGGACTACAATGTCCTTTGTTATTTTAAGGCGTCTTAGTTTCATGTCAGAGTGACCTTCAGGTTTTTTGTTGGCACATTTACATGAAAGTTTAATCGATAGGCCATCTGTTTATTTTCAGTCTCATAAAGCTCCTGGATATGGTTTTATGTGCTGCCAGAGCCAAATCCGTCAATACAACTGCCAGTGTGTGTGCTCTATAATTCAGTTACAAAGACAGTCATCACTGTTCCCTTGTTTATGAATTTGTGACATGTTGCAGTTCCTGTTTCCCGAGGAGGTCGGGGCCGTAGTGGCAAAGCAGGGGTTTGCTAATATAAACCAAATCCAATGCTGTGTCTTTCTACATAATCCTTAGAGATCGAGACAGGTGTCGGAGTCAAAACATACCGCCGGAGTAGACCTCAGCGCAGCGGCTGGTGTCAAAGCAGCGAGGCCTGAAATGCCACGTCACCTCCTCCTGGCTGTGACCTGTTCCTGTCCCAGGGGGGGCGTTTGTTATGGACTCGGATGAACCGGAGCTGTTTAGTGTGCCACTGCCAAACCAGGCGGGCAGGTGGTGTCTCCAGCCTGTAGCTCACAACCTAATCCATCCCCTCCCTGCGTCGACTCTGCGTGCCCAAGCAGAACCACTGTTCCGCTCCAAGTCTCGACACAAGCTGGGTTCCTGCAGCAACTGTGGGGCCTCCATTAGGCCGCCCATTAAAATGAGCTGTTTGTAACGGGGTATTTGGTATTTTAAAGTCTTCGGGGATATTAAAATATGCTCTGGCCTCATCAGATGCAGTTTTCAGTCATTGGATTAATTGGGTGTCCTGGCCGACTGAGATCAGCTTCAGAATACTGCAGCTCCATGTGTCGTTCCTCAAGGACAGTGGTTTGTTTGAGCAAATACAGTTTATTTGAATCCTTCTTGAGGTTATTGTATTCGGGATGGAACGGTTAATTGAATCCCTGGTGCAACAGAGTCAAATATATATTTTTGTGTACTCACAAAATAATATATTTGTGTGAAGGAAAAGCCCACCCTTAAATGTGCTGTTATGTATATCTAATCGTGGACGTTCGAGTCTTTTGTGCGTTTTCTTGTCAGGCTAGTTTCTCTCTCCTCTGGTCACTTTCTCTCCTCTCCGTTGATGTTTCACTTGAGGCCAGAGCTTTGCGCACTCTGCAGTCCGCTAACGTGTTGCTGTCGCTACCTATATTAGCTGCTCTGTTTCAACAATGTTCAATCAATGTTGGGCTGAAAAAAACGTGCATGCAGGCTGAAATTCAAAACGGCGTGTTGCTCTTTCAAGAGATGCAGTGACTTAAACCAAGTGGAAGAGTAGAAGAGTGGAAAAAAAAAGTCCACTAGGCCAGGCTAATTCATGCAGTGTGAAATGCCACGGGCATTCAGGAAGTGACCGGTCTGAGAGCTGCCATGTGGAAACCTTGTTTTTTTCGATTGCAGTAAACTTACTGTAATGTTTATGTAAATAAAAAGCTACTTCAGCTACATTTGACTGCTTGTATACTTGATGAAAATGTAGCCATGTGCAGTCATATAGAAAATTGTTGTTGAAAGGTGAATTGTTATCACACTTCTAGTTGTAGTTAATTATTGGAACTTAAGATTTACCTCGCCCAGGACACCCACCGGTGTGAACTGTCGGCCTGGGGCGGTTTCAGGTTTGGTCTTTGGTGCTGTAGTGTGCTCCCGACTTTGTGGCAACAGTTTTTGTATCTTAAGTATAGGCCCCCGAGCACAGAGTCAGGTCCACAAAGAACACAGAGCCCTTACCTCATCCAAAACCTTATCGCCCAACATCAGTGGGCTCACTAATGCTCTTGTGGCTGAATGGGAGCAAATCCCTGCCGCCAAGTTCCACAATCTTGTGGAAATCCTCCCTAGAAGAGGAGAAGTGGAGGCTGTTGTAGCAGCACAGTAATGCAGAGATTTACTTGATCAAAAATCACATATGAGGGGTATTTTTGGGCTGCCATGAACCTTATGCACAATGCACATCTCAGTGGTTTTGATTTAATAACTGAAGTCATGACAGGTATTGGATTGTACTTGGTGTTCTTAAAAACTAAAATGTCCCAAATCTTTGTATGCACACGTGAATGGAGGGAACATTTCTCCTGTTTTGAAGAACTGTGTGTGAAGAAGCCACAATGATGTGGCTTTCCTTAACTATGTATTTCAAAATCTTGAATCATACTTGATTGTATGATTGTGAACAAAATGGTGAGTGTGGGAAGAAGGCCTTTCATTCTCACGTACTCGTAACACAACTGTACACTTACTGAAGATTTTTAGTCGCTGCTGTAAATCGAAGACTGGTTGGCCACTTATCTGTTGGAAGAATTTATACTTCAACAAACATCTTACCGAGGCAGTTGTGCTGCCTTGAATCACCACCTTGAAACGAATTAAAGGCAGGTATTGTAAATGCACCATAATAAAGAAATATGAATCTTGATTTAGAAAAACCTTTAGAATGAGCTGCTTTTCCCCGCTGTTTTTAAGGTAATAGGATATGAAGGATTTAATTACAGACATGGTATTGGGGACATTGAGCATTTTTTGCAGTGCAAATGAGCCGGGAAAGAATGGTACATTTTTCCTATTAGAATGCTAATTTCAGCAGTTATTCAGAGCAACTTATTTTGATGTAATTTGACACATCAAGGTGAAACATTTTGTGGGAACAAGGGCACCTCAAACTGCAAACTGTAGCTGCACGGCTCATGTGAGGAGTTATGAGATAGCATGTTGCTGCCGCTCAGTTAAGAGGGTTTGTTGATGGATGCTCCCCTGCCAGACAGGCAGACATTTCTAACTGCTCCTGACAACCACTTTGTTCTCTCACACACACACACACACACACACATAGAGTTTTGCTCCCCTTTTCCTCCTCTGACAACCTGCGTCTGCTGTAACTGATAGCTCCATATTGCTCAGAGGTTGGTCTGTTCTCTACATCAATACAACTGGGTCAGATGTTCACAAGTATTCCTCAGACTGAGGGATGTCAGGCTGACTGACAGAGTGACACTAGCTGGAACTGTGGGGAGATGACCTTTTAATTAAATCATTGTGTTCAGCTGAATGCAAGCAGGCACAGAGATTGTTGCACGGAGCCGATGCTAAGTGTGATCCCTCTCATGGCTACTTCTGTAGCATTCAACAAAGCGTTGTACGTCGACACTCACTATCCCAGTTTTTATTCTTGGCCTCGTTTTGATCATATTCAGGATATGACATGAAATATATTGCAGGAGTTCATATCAAACATAATACAGGTTTCCTGATCACCTGCAGGCTCTGACTCTGTTGCATTACATTATTTATTTACCAACCTACAGAGACGAGATCTCAGGAATATAAAGTTATGCGATGAAAGACAATGATCAAAGCATTTTTTTTCACCTATATTATTTATATATATTGTTTTATTTATTTATACTGTTCATAACTGAACTTTTTGTGAATTGTATTTCCTAACACATGCTGTTGTAAATAGGGATGCCCTGATTGATTAAGTAAAAAATATGCTTAAGAATGCTTTTTAGTCGCTGATCGGTTGCTATTATTATTATTATTATTATTATTATTAATAAATGTATATAATAATAGCTATAATTATAACCGGTCAATCACAAGGTAGCCACGCCCCTAAAGCATACCCAGCTTTATAGTCTATTTTACTCTAATCTACGTCTATTTAACATAACTGACATGTTTTCTCCTCGTGCAGTTGATCAGGTGAACATGTGTAGGTGTTGCACATTTACATCCAGCAGACACAGAGCAACATTAACATTCATTTGTAGTCGTGTTTCTGTTCACCTTGTGAATATCAGTCCAATATTGACTGTCCTTTTAACTTTGTATTGGCCTCTAGTTTTATGGTTTATGAATATCCAATTTTAGAATGACATACTTGCAAAAGCACATTATGATTCGATAGGAACCTTTTCCTTTGTAGCCAACATTGCTGACTTACTGTATTTAACTGTGTCACTCAAACTTCCCTTTCAAATTGCCGGGTTCAGTGTTCGATCCGAGCTCTATTGTATTGAACAGAGGCTGTGTGACATTAGCATATAAACTGCTCATGTGAGCTGACCCTGCTGGGGCCGACGACCGGCTTTTGTCAGACTAATTCAAAGTTTCTGCCTACGATCACAGCACTCTGCGAGGGTGAGATAAAGACGTAATTAACGGAAAATGGATTTGCCTTTAAGGGATTGTGCTATATATATATATATATATATATAAAGATATAATTTTTTATGTAAATTCTCATGTGTATAATCTTCCTCTGTGGTAAATCCATGAATCTGGCTATCATCACTGATTTAAAAAAAATCACCATTTATCCCCTCTAAGCATCGCCATCTGACGCGAGGCTGCAACTTCCCGTGCACTATTTTGTTCCCTTGCAGTCTGTAGTCACAGTTTGGTTGACTCTGATAATCACGCTGAAAACTCAAAGGAGGCCGTGAGCAGATGCCTTCAAAGGTGTTTTTGTCCCTCGTGATGAAATCGGGGGAGGAACTGAGAATCAGTCGGTGCCCGTCCATCTGTCAGGCGCAATATGCGGCATGCTGTTCACACACAGCTGACGTACACATTCAGGAGGATGATGCAAGTCATTGTTGCGTTCTTGCAATTTAAAACCACTTTGATTGGTGAAAAAAGGGGAACTCTGAATTTGTCAAAAAGTTTTCTTCCCCTACCCTTGAGTCAAAGATATGTTCTCAGACACCACTGATCTCACATGAACTATTAATAGCTCAACACGGGGACTAGAATCATGACATCACTGGTCGAGTCTTGTATTAATAAGCTCTCATTTCTTCCATCCTAACACCAGCCAGTGAATTCTATTTAAGCCAAACCAATACAGTTAAGCCCTGTATCTAGTGGATTAATGAATGAGTCTGGTGTTTCTCAACCTGGGCACCAGGACACCCACATGAGGTCGCAAGATGGATCTAAGAGGCCCTGATGAATAACTAACAATCCAGATAATTACCGGTGTACTGTAGGAAATATGACACATGACTCCATAAAAGTGTTTATTTCTCTGGAAAACATATAGAATGAAGGAAATGTTTGAATTATACTGTAAAGTTGTATTTCTTGCACTCATCACTTATATTTCTTTTACACTGATTTATTCCATTTTAGCTTCAGTTCATGTTTTCAACAGTGTTTATGAGACTTTTTTATGTTGCCTTGTGTTAACTTTATGTCTTGTCATAAGGTCGTATTATGTGTGGAATACAATGCTTTCAATTGCCTTAGTGTTGAAGGTATCGCATTGCTTCATCGGGTATTGGAAAAAAAATGTCTGAAAAGCTAAAAAAATCCGACTTTTCAATCAATGACTCAAAACTCCATTGCACCCTGCGATGAGAGGTCACAAGCACAATTTGCTAAATATTAATATTAACGACTATCTCTTGGCTTGTGCCAAGTGATTTCAACTGAATTATGAGTTAGTTAAAGGTTTTATAAGGCATTCTGAACATTAATATAGCAGCAAACAACAAGATAAACAACTGTTTTAAAGAATTCTTACTTTCAGACGCATAGTGTTCGCTGTTCAAATGTATGTCGTTGAAATGCCTGAAGATAAAAAGCATATCAAGTTTCTAGATAGTGTGGATCAGAGAAGTTATTCTCCATGATCTGTGATTGATATGTTGGAGTCACTGAAGTGTGAATATTGCTCCTTGGTCCTTTTTTTTTTCCTGATGTAAGATCTCAGAGTCGTTTGATTACGTCCAGTTGATGAGATCTCACATTGATCCAAAGGCTGACATCATTATTTTTTCATCAGTGTGTAATGTTATGATGTTAACATGACAAGAGGAAGATGTTCAGTGTCATGTTACGTTGCCAGACTCTTGTCTGAACCTCCCCCTCGTCCATCGGTCTGCTCTTTAAAGACGATTTCTCCGACAGCTGCTACACACGGATCAAAGCATGTGTCAGCTTAAAATTAGGGGGAAGTGGTCACAGTTAAGCTTCACTACAGAACATTCGCAGCTCTCATTTGTGGTTCAGTGGTGCTATAGCAGTTAGAAAACATCTCCCTTAGATCAATCGTTTGATCAATCGTTGTGACTTCATCTGGTCAGGATGGTCAGAGTACGATATTCTGTGTTGGATAATGTTGTTGTTTTTGACCGTGCTACATAAAGCGGTCTGTAAAGCTTGTGGAATTGTTGCACATAGTCCACTCAGGATGTTCTCGTACACTTTTCATAGCTAAACATATGCACTTTGCATTAAAGCTACAAAATCAACTCGTATAATCCAAGTGATGGTGAGCCAGGACAGGTGACGTAGGGCGGAGGTAGTGGTGGATACCCATTCAAAAAAAATCACCAGACTTTCGCTCAGGAGGCCGCTGTTCATGTTCACATCCACACTGATAGCTCGTGTTGCTGCCCATTTGTAGGAAAACGCACGAAAAAAAGGACAAATTATCTTTTTGTTTGATGTCATATAAACTGTTGCATCACGTCCAATAGTTTTTAGCCACACGAGCGACGTGGCTCTAGGGATGGTGATGACGGTCGGTCTGTCCGCCCTTTGGTTTATGACCAAATAACTGTAAAACTAATAGCCCCCCCATCAGCCTAATCTTTACTTTGTGAGCGTTGTACAGCTGTTAGACACTAAACTGCTTTGAGATACTCTACGTAATCCATTACACATCCTAGTATTTGTTTTCCATCTATTTATAAAACTGTTGCTGTGACTGCATGATAAGTGACACTTCAGTCACTTTGATACTTCTTTAATAATAGAAATGGATGTGCTTGCGAAAAGCTTCAGCATCTGAGAACATAGATTTGGTTGCCAAATATCACCCTTCTTCAAGCTTATAACTTCACACGTACAATTGCTTATTGTTTGTCTTAAATGTAGCTGTGAATAAAGTGTTCCCAGCTGATATCAGCGTTTGAACACATCATGTAAAAGGTAAAACACATTACCAGGCAGCCATGTCACACGTTTCATGTCTCCACCACTTGATCGTACATACAGTATATTAGATACAATGCCTTACCTACATGGAGTGAAATCACTGGCTGCGCAGTCAAAGCAAAAGCTTTTACCAGTCTTGAGATCCTAGAGTGCAGTATGATATTTTTAAATGGTCTGCTGAGATGTAAAGTGTACGCCATTATATTTCATTGTCAGCTAAAACATGCAAAATGCAGTTATGGTCTTTTCATTCGGTTCCAGAATTTTCTCACACTGAACAATCCTAAAACATCCCACCTTATGGACCATCAAACTCACCTAAAAGCATTTTCATTATTTTGGGTTTCCATAGACAGTGTCACACGAGTGTGTACCTCCTGATGCTCGGGCGTTTCAACCTGGGAAAGAGGAAAGTTACAAGAACACTTATTTCTGGTCATTTTTCAAACTCTCTCTGGTCCACTTTTGTATGTTGCTGCGTAACTTCTCTCCCAATATTGTTACTGATAGTGAAATAATCACAAAACATCACTCAAATATTGAATGTGTACCTCTGCCAGTAATTTATTGTATTACTATGATGTAATTCTTAATGGTCCTTTTATTTGATACATTACTACAGTACTATAACTTTGTACTTCACCTTTTTCTTACCTGTTTTTTCTTATAGCAGTTGTGATACCAGAGGATAGGGCTGGGTATCAGTACCCAGTACCAAGTAATATCCAAACTCCTCCAGTCAACCTATACCTGTATTTTATCCTTTTTGAACCCAGTTCTAGAAAAAAAAAGACTATTTGTTTGGCTTTGCTTGCAGCCAATCATCGCAAGCGTTCATTGCTTTGATGCTCGGTGTGATCAGACCAACGCAGCAGCTACAACCCTTACAGTCTGTAAAGTGGTGAAATCAAGTGCGGTGTATTTGTCGGAGTTGGCAGTTTAGCTAGCCGAGACGCCAACAGAACTTTTGAAAGGATGCAATACTGGACTCCTGTGGCATCTGACAGAGATATCGAGAGAGTACTTTATTTGATACCTTATTTTTACCAGCCACGACAGTGTGTGGCTATCTGCTGGTGTGATCCCATTTCTTTCCCATCTCTAGTTTATACTTCATTAGATATTCAATATCATGAAAGAACAAACATTTATGATGTTACAGCCACAAAAAATGTTACCTCACATTTAAAATGACAGCTGCAGCATGTGTGCTGGCAGGTTTAGCAGAGGTATGAAACATCACACATTAGGAAGAGAGTCCTGGAGCTAGAATATCACAGCTTTCATCCTCTTGCCCACCAATGTCCATCAACTGCCATGTCTTGTCAATGTGTACCTGTGCAGGAGACAGTTATTGTTTTTTAACTCAATGTTACACGGAAACTTAGCAAAATGAAACTTCTGGCTTAGAATGCTCTTGTAAGAGACATAGAAGCTCCTGGTATATTGTCTGGTGTATTGTCTATGTTTTATCCTCCCACCATGTATCTGGAGGTGAAACGAGTCATATTATGGAGCAGGAGACGATACGATGAGCATTGATGGATGAAATTAAGCTGAAATGAATTGCGGGAGGCATCTGCTTTATATGCGCTCGTCTGGTCTGATGATCAGAAGCCGCACTAGTCTTGATCAAAGCCCTGTGGGAGTTATGGCAATGTTTTGTTTTACTCCTGGTATTTTTCTGTCTCAGCCAGTTTTTATTCTTAAAAATGGACCGTTCAAAAACAAACGTTGCTGGGACACACAGTTGGTGTTAAAAAAGTGCCAAGAGGACTCTATATATATATATATACACAATATAAATAACCACAAGTGTAAGGTGCTATGTAGTATTTTACTCTAACATAATTGCTACACAAGGAGATGCTGAGTTCTCTTTGTATGAACGTTAAGTTCTTTTCTTTGCAGGTGAAGATGACCAGCTGGCCCTCAAGAGCAAGGTGACTGTTGCAGACCTCTTCAGAAAAGACTTCAAGGTTCACGACCCTAACGCCAAATGGATAAGCAGTAAGTAATCCCATTATATGCACATTTTAATGAATTAGAATTTGATTTGAACACATGCATCAAAATGTTGCTTTGAAATATTCTCATTCACGCATCGCAAGAACAACAGACGGATATTTTTCTCATCTATTGGCATCCCACTCGTTATAATGGAAGTACTTGGTCTTCATGGGACCTTGTATTTCTCTTCTCGTTGATAAGATTAGTTGAAAGGGTAACGGGTAGTTTTTAAACTGGAAAACATGTTCCCATGTTTTTGTGTCTAAGTGACTAATGGGGAGAACATTTCTTTTTTAAATTGCTCCCGTATTGAGGGAGAGCGCTGCAGTCGCAAAACAGGCTGGAATGTGATCGCTTGAGGCAATTCTTCTCCGTCAATGTGCGTCCACTGGAAGTGTTTCTGCTCCCGGCGGGCTCAGTTTGTGTCTGACAACATTAAGGAAAGGACCCTACAGAGAAATTAAAAAAATATATATTTACCTTCTTCTTTAGACTTCTTCTTTTTTAGCTTTATAACAAATGACAAAAAAAAGAAAATATGTGTCACACCACATACTTTACTAAAATTATGTTTATTTTCATTGTCTTCTTTTACATTTGTCCCTCCTCTGTCTTTGCACAGCTGTGTGTTGCTGTATGTATATGTGTGTGTGTGTGTGTGTGTGTGTGTGTGTGTGTGTGTGTGTGTGTCCTTGCTGTCTGTCATTACGCCAAATGATTTATTCCATATGCTCCAATAACTACCCAATTACCTGCAACCACAACCCTCTTTTTTTCTCTGTGATCAATGACAGTGTTGAGCTGTTGTTACAATTCATCACAGCCAATTTCAAACACTTGTTTTTTTGGGTTTTTTAGCAGCGGGTCTGTGACAGTACAAACACTGACAGCACCACAGGGAGCCAATGAGATAAAATCATATACTTTACTTTCTATCAAGGTAAAACAACGACTTGATGCAGCCTCACACGTCTCAGCGCGGCATTGAATAGAATGATCACAGCTCCGAGATGTGAGGGATTTGTACAGCTGAAGGATTAATGAAGCGGATTTTGTCCTCTCTCGTGCACAACATAGCTATCTCCTCCGATCACGGCATCTAAGATGGCTCCTAGAAGCGGCACAGCTGTTAAATCTCATATCCTTAAAAATGCAAAGCCTGCCCCTCTGTTATTGACTGTGATTAGAAAGCTGAAAACCCATATTTATTATATTAGTGACAGGAAGTCGGCATTACTCTGGATCTCAGATGATGACGGTCTGATTTCAGGTGTGTTTGAGCTACGGGTCCCCATGTGTGCTTCGGGATGAGACGTCTCTCACGTGGCTGAATTGTCGCCGTTCCTATCTGTGACCCACAAAAGTTGCAAACAAATCCATCACAGGCGAGTGAGCCGTGGTGAACATCCCACACTGTGGTAGTATTGTACACATCTGGAAGGTAACATCTGTTGTGTTCTCAGCGAAAGCTCAAACGGGGATCGGGAGCATATTTCTACTAGTGGTTGAATTGTATGATCATTATCATGAACTGTGGTAATGTTTTACTTCCCTTAACCTGAAGCTGTTTTATAAGATGCTCAAAGAACAGAGAGATGGTGTGGAGAAAGGGGCTTTGTAATGATCTATATAGCAGCTGAAGCCGCCATGAAACAAGGCTTGTCATTAGAAAGCAGTCCGCTCTTTCATCTCCTCCTTTTTGTGCTGTTGACAGTTCAATCCTTGATCTCGAGGTATTTTTAGTGCATCATTAGACACTGCTGACAAAAAGGAGAGAAAGGGGGAGTGATCCATCAGCTGATTATTTCGACTTTGTTAGTGTGTCATTTTTACCAGACCCGGTGCTCGACCGACCTGCATGCTTTCAGGGCTGTCTGTAGGATTTGCAGTAATGGTTGGTTTGGGGACTGAAATTGAATTTTTTTTAAACCTAATTTAGCCCAGTTTCATGTTTTTGCTTCCCCTGCTGTCTCCACCTATCAATCAATTCCCTGGAGACAGACTGAATATAACCTCCAGAATCCTTAATGATCACATATTGGCTATTTTTACCAAGAAAAATTGCTTCCTCATGTCTTGTCCAACAGCATTAACTTGGATATATTGTATTATTAGGTGCTCTTTAGCTGATGCTCACAGTGACAGTAATCCCTGTCTGCACAGTCAATGGATCATCATTCTAAAGGATAATTTGGCCCAAAACTTGGGTTTTATTTGAGTAGTTTCGGCCATCATTCTCTGAGTGTCCATGATAACATTGTACTCACTAAGCTACTGGCTGAGATCTGGGTATACAGAAACATCATTTAATTGAAATCAGAGAAAGAAAGAAACAATCTTCTAGAAAAGGGGCAATATCTGACCAGAATCTGAATTTAAAACATTCAAAATATCAACAGAATGTGAAGAGGTTAGACGTTATGTTAAAGAAGTCTATGTATTGTGTTGCACGTACTGTAAATCCACTGAAATGAGCATGCTAAAGACCTCCTGTCTCGTAGTACCATTCAACCTCGAGAGCTGATAGTCACTGCGATCAGTCTGTCCTCAGCCCAACATGAGAGGAAGAAGAAGTGCGCTGCCACTCGTGGTTTTTTTGTTGTTGTTTAGGCCCAGCAGAATCCTTTGGCCGACCCTGCAAATACGTTTGGCTGAGGTCGTGTTCAGACAAAAAGCATCACAGCATCTCTGGTCTGATAGCCCGTTTTACTGGCCAATGTTTAATATATGACTGAAGAGTTCCATGCTATACATGTGGAATGCAAGGCCCCACAGTGGTTTACGAGGTAGCCAGAGATTTGTTTCAGCAATCTGAATATATTGATGGAAGGCTTGTTGGTGTAAGTGCTGTAATTTATACAGCTGCCGGCTGGCCAGAGACAGCCAGAGCTCCCTGTAAGTCAATCTTGAGTACGATGGCTGCTGGCTCCTACCTCAGGCTCACTCTGACTTCCCGTTGAACCAAACTTTACTATAGAACAGTAAGTAACAAAAATCTGCTATTTTTATTAACGTATGCCTTGGTGAAATAGCGAATGCCATGTGTTTAGAGTCGTGGTGCATTTAGGTGATTTACTGAAAACAGAACACCAGTGGCCTTATCTCCATATATAAATCTACCTCAGTGCTTGGAAGTCATTGGGATCATTTACATATATTAGTCTGGCTTGTTTGCAAACTGTCTGATTGCTTTTTTCTTGCCCAGTCTGACTTGTTCCCAGATCTCAGTCATTTACCTGAGAGTTCAGTGTTTCCAAAGCCAGTAGCATAGACAAAGCAACAAAATGAATTCTGTGATATATATCTGCATAAACTACTTCTCCCTGCAGTGCATCAGTAGTCCGATCATGTTCTGAGTCCACCGCTACAAGTCTCCCCAGTTAGGTAATTGCATACAGCTGATATCTCACATATGCCTGTTTTTTTTCCGAACAGCATCAACATCATTCTCACACCACCAAGGTGAAGCCAGCCCCGTGGGACGCAGTGCAGGCGCTCTGAGCAGCTGCTTGCCATTTTAATGGCCACGTTCCTCTTGTTTGCCCCTCCAGAATGCCTCTCGTCTCGTTGATGTTTGTTAAATATGATGGAGGGGGGAGCCATTCGTAAAGCAAGTGGGACTATCTTAAAATAGGGGGGGGGGGGCTTGAGATTGAAGCCTAGTGATGTTTGTTGTGTCAGTGTGTGTACACGAATGCGAGCATGTTGGAATTACCTTGTTTCTGAATGATGCACAACCTCGTCTCAACCTCATCTCTAATGTGTATGTAAAGCAGTCACTTTGGAGATTATAGCCAGTTGTCTCACTCCCTTATTGACTTTTCATAGCTCTGCTCCTGTGACACAACATGAGTAATGATGTGAACGCCATTTGTTAATGGACTTCTGCTGTTGATCTTTTTCTTACCAATGAGACGTATCAAATTAGCCCCACACACTCACCGTTAGCATCCAGTGTTCATTCAGTGTCACAGACAATCAGCTTTTGTAAAATGGTAATATTATATGAAGCAGCCGGTGCATACATCCCCTTTCGAGATGGCCCAGTTCTACAGAGAGAGTGAGCGGGAGCTTAATCTCGGGGGGGTGGAGGATGTCCTGGCACACACTCACATTTTGTCGTCCCTTTCAACCACCGGAGAGCAGCAGAAATGGTGCGACAACATTTCTTTTTATAGAATCAAGCTGTCACAATATACTGATGTTGTTGAGTGGTTTAATTCCCAGGGAGGAATTTAAAAAAAGAGGAGAAGGAGATTTTTCAATTATACATTTGCTTCATTGTGTCTCATGGCAGATTAAGCTACTTAGCTGCTAACGTCAAGGCAACATCTGAAGAGTTGAACTTCATCTTTGATCCACGTTTTGAGAAACCAAAATTGTAAAACAGCTATTTCAGTAATCTTAAGAATCTTGCCAAAATTAGAATACGTCTGTCTCCCGGCTAGACAGAGAAAATGAACTTATCCCATGTGCCGCGTAGGAGAACTACTAGTGCCAATGTTTGGTTTGTCCGTTCTGGGCTACTGTAGAAACATGCAACACAGCGGACTCTGTGAAGAGGATATGTAGATATAAAAGGCTCATTCCAAGGTGACTAAACAGACGGATTACACACTAAAGAAAGTGTACTTATTAGTGTTACATTCAATCTCTGCCAGTGTATATTATATATAATAATAATCATCTAACTAATTAAGGTTATTCTGTTAGTTGGCATTTGTGGTGTTTACAGCTGAATAATAGTTTTTATTTATTTATTTCATCTCTTGCCTGTTCCGTCTATTATGGCAGCAGTTGAAGTATTTCCAGGCTTTTAGCAATATTACACCGTCTGCCAGCTCAGTCCCAGAGCACCACAGTCCCACGTTACTGTAACAAGCAAACCTGCCTAAAAAGCATCAACTGTGCTGTCTGTTTCTGCCTGCAGAGATGAGAAAAGACAGAGATGTTGTTAATTAACAACAAGAGTACACCACCACCACCACACACACAGAAAA